TAATGTTAAATTTATACAATTGATACAACTTTTTTGTTATTTGAATAGGGAATGAAACGTTTTCATGCTAGAAATGCAGTTGTTGATGCTCTTAAAGAAAAAGGACTATTCATAGAAACCAAACCAAACCCAATGAGTGTTCCAATTTGCGCGTAAAGAATACTACTTTTTTTTGGAAAAAAATATTATTGTATTTACATTTATAATTTATTAAAAAAGATTATTTATTTTTTAGTAAATCTGGTGATATTATAGAGCCCTTATTAAAGCCTCAATGGTGGATAAATTGTTCAGACATGGCAGCAGAAGCAATGAAGGTTTGTTGACACTTTGTATATATATATATTACTTCTTTACTAAATCTATTAAGGGAAATAGAGAAAGGTGATTCAAAAGATTTATATTGAAAAAGAACTTTTTAAATTAGGCTGTAAAAGATGGGATGCTTACTATTGCACCTAAAACTTCTGAAAATGATTGGTTTAGATGGCTTGGAAATATCCAAGATTGGTGTATTTCTAGACAACTCTGGTGGGGACATCAAATTCCTGCATATTTTATAAAAATAGAAAACAAAGTACAAGATGTATGTAATTATATACATACATCTAATTAACATGTTTGTTATAAAATAAATAATAACTTACATTAATGATTTATATTTATAAAAGACATCTGATGGTAATTATTGGGTTGCTGCTCGAAGTTTAGACGAAGCAACTGAAAAAGCAAAGAAGAAATTCCCTGGTGTTGACTTTACTTTAGAACAAGATCCTGATGTTTTAGATACATGGTTTTCTTCTGGACTATGGCCATTCTCTATTTTTGGTTGGCCCGAAAATGTAATTATTTATTTAACATGTAAATAAATACATATAAAAGAAATCTGAAAAATCAAAGTTATTAAAAAAATTTTTTCAAATAAATAGACTGAAGATCTGAGTAAATTTTATCCAACTACATTATTGGAGACTGGATGGGATATTTTATTTTTCTGGGTTGCTAGAATGGTCATGCTTGGTATAAAACTTACCGGAAAAACACCATTTAAAGAAATTTTTTGTCATGCCATGATACGAGATGCTCATGGAAGAAAAATGAGCAAAACATTGGGAAACGTTGTAGATCCGGTAGATGTAATTCAAGGTATATCATTAAATGATTTACACGGAAAATTATATGAAGGAAATCTTGATCAACGTGAAATTGAAAAAGCAAAATCTGGACAAAAGGCCGATTTTCCAAATGGTATTCCAGAATGTGGCACAGATGCATTGCGATTTTCTTTATGTGCATATACTTCTGCAGGTTAATAATCTAAGAGTTATTATTAAAAAAATCTTATTTGGAGAAAAAATAGTAATAAACATATCATTTTTCAGGACGTGATATTAACCTTGATATTCTTCGTGTTGAGGGTTATCGTAAATTTTGCAATAAAATATGGAATGCCACAAGATTTACATTAATGAAATTGGGTGAAGATTTTCAACCTAGACCAGACTCAAAGGCATTAATTATTTAATTATCATTATCGACTGTTTTATTTTTAAAAATAACAATAGTAATAATATATGTATATTTTTTTATTGTTTATAGAAAACTGGTAAAGAAACATTGGTGGAAAATTGGATAATACACAAACTAAATAAAGCTACAATTGAAATGAATAAATTTCTTGGCGAGAAAAATCTTATGAATGCAACTACCTCTGTTTATAATTTTTGGTTATATGAACTTTGTGACATATATATTGTAAATTTATTTATCTTTTTTGTTTGTAGAGTTATGATGAAATGATAATATAATGATAACATCATCTTTTATAATTATTATTAATAGGAATTAATTAAGCCAATGACTGATGTTGATACATCTATTCCAAAAAATGCAGAGCTTAAAAGATCTGCACAAGATACATTATATACATGTTTAGAAGCTGGACTTAAATTGCTTCATCCATTTATGCCATTTGTGACTGAAGAGTTATATCAACGATTACCTAGAAGGCCTGGTGATGATACTTTAACAATAGTCAGAGCCAAATATCCACTTGAGGTATATAAATAATAAATTTTTTGAAAAAATTCTATTCTTTAAAACTTATCAATATACATAATTATTAAATAGGTCCCAGAATACAGCAATCCAAAAGCTGAAGAACAATTTGATCTTGTGTTCAATGTTGTTAAGGTAGCTCGTTCACTTATTGTTCAGCACAATATTCAATCTGATGCTACTCGTAAGTTATTGATTTAGATATATATTTATATTTATATACAAAATTATTTATTTACATTAAATATTTTGGGGGGACAATATATATAGTTTTTATACAAACAGCTTCTGAACCAATTACATCATTACTGAATTCAGAAGATAAAAGTATTAAAACATTGGTAAAAAACACTAAATCCATTCAGGTGATTGGAAAAGATGGAGCTTTGCCATCTGAATATGCATCAAGTATTGTAAATGAAGAGATAAGTGTATTGTTACTTTTGGATAAGGTATTAAAAGTGTTATTTTTATTTTTTTATAAATAATCTTTTATTATTTTAATTAATAAACATTGTTTTCTTTATTTTTTTCTCAAGTAAAATAAAAGAATTAAGATCCAATTAAATATTTAATCATTAAAGTATTTTTTCGATAAATACCTAGATTAATTATTATTATATTTATTTGATTAATTTATATATCTTTTGAATATAATAATATTATTATTATTAATTTATTAATACAAATAAAATTAATTTTGTTGTATAAGCATAGTGGAAATTTGTTGTTACACGAAATGTCATACAGAACTCATTGCTCCTGAAACTTCACCAATATACAGTGTGGGACAAAAAATTTTGCCCTCAATGTTGATGTATGATGCAGGACACCTAGTCCCTACAACTTTCTGCGCCACAGCGAACAGATTTGAGAAAAAATTCACAATCAAAAATGCAATAAAATTTTTACAGTCATGTGTTTTAAAATAGATTTGTCACGTTGCATTCTCTTTATTGATATCACGTGATAAAGGATCTGCAACATAGATTTCAAAATTTTCAATTCTTCCAATTCGTTCATTTTTTAATATAAAAAAAATTTGTGTGTAACACGTCACTTTGTGGGATTAACATAGTAAATTTGTTAAACTTGTGCAACTTTATGGCTTAATTCCTCCACAACAACATGGCATCTCAACAAAATGAAAATGTCATTTTGTAGAAAAAGGTCTTAGCTTCAAAATGACATCTTGTTTTTTAGGTCACACATTTCCATTTTCGGAGGAGTTAAAGGATTTGCAAGACTAATAAAAGTTGTAGGGACTAGGTGTCCTGCACTATACAATAATCTTCAAAAATAAATATTTATAAAAGAATAAATATTATTTCATTTCTTACTGTTGATGATATGGAATTTCAGCATTATTTTTCATAGGGTAGTAGAAGAAAGTGGTATCTATGCTCCCTAATGGATTACCTTTTATCACTTAAAAGTTCTCAAGCTCTTTTATATTAAACAAAATCAGAATGTAAAAAAAAATAAAAAAGAATCTAGAAACACATATTGTGAATAAGTTAGAATACATCATCAAATAATCTGGAAAATTGGAAATGCTGTTAATAAATCATTCAAGACAATAATTTAAGTTCAACAATATTTATATTCACAGAACATTAATTGAAATTAATACTAACATTCACTTGCAAGCATTGTGGAAATTTGGATATAAACTCAAAAGAATGGAAGTTAAAGCCTGGGACCTTTATTTAAGGGTAGAATGTAGTGCAAGTGTGCAATTTCAAATACAGCTTGTGACATGCCCAATAAATATATATAAGATAAAATATGAAAGTCCAATAATATATAGATTTCCCTATTTTGCACACAGCTAAGGGTTCTTGCACTCTGTCTCGCACACAGCTCAGGAGTCCTATTCCAAAATAACTCCATTGCGCAATTCTCACTCTTCAGTACTACTACTAAGTACTGTTGGCACTAGCCTAAGATATTGAAATAAATTATATGTACACTCCCCTAAAAAAAGTATTGACTCACTTGATGATCCACAAAAATAATTGGGTAAACGGATAATACAAATACTCAATTTTTACTAAGCAAATTGATGTTGTGTATTGGTAAAAAAATGTTTACTGAAATGATTTCTATAAAATTCTAAAATATCACCTTGGACTGATTGTTATTGATAATTTTATGATGTTTAAAAGTTAAATTAAAATTTTTCAAAATTTTTTTGAAAAAGTTGCACTTAGAGCTATTTTAAGATACAATATTTTGACGCACCTTGGGAACTTAGAAAATGTCGTTCTGTTTGTTCTCAAATATATAAATATGAATGTTCATAATTATTGGTGGAATATTCATAGAGAATTAATACAAAACATAAAAAAAATCGTAACGAATTTCATTCACAATTTGCATAATATTTTAAATAATAAATATTTATTAAATTTATATCAAAGTATCGAAAAAGTATAAATATTTGATTTATTTATTCAATATTTTGTTGGGTTTCCTTTTGAATCAATTACAGCTTGAACCTTTCAAGACATGCTGTCTACTAATTTTTACAAATAATGACAATCAAGGTTAGCCCACTCTTCCATCAAAAAGAAACTAATTCATTTGTATTTTTTGGAGGATTCCTTTTGCAAATTGCTTTTTCTAATTGATTCCAAACATGTTCTATTGGATTAAGGTCTGGGCTTTGAGCAGGCCAAGGGAGTGAAGATATTAAATTTGCCTCTTTCCATTGAATTACTACACCAGCTGTATGAACAGGAGCATTGTCATCCTGAAATGTAAAAGAACCATCCCCCAGTCTGTTGAGAAAGGGTAATAGATTATCTATAAGAAGTTCTTGATAATCTTTACCATTAATTTTGCCATCTATTACCACCAAAGGTCCTAGACAATTATTAACAAAACAACCCCATACCATTACACCACCTCCGCCATGTTTAAAGGTAGGTACAAGGCAATCAACATCGTACTTTTCTTTTGGTAGATGCCAGACTGTGGTGTTTGATGGCTATAGATCATCAAACATATGTTACATCAATATAAAAAATTATTTGTGCGGATTTTTTTAGGGGTTAAATTTTTCAACATGTTACACTGGAATTTATAAAATTTATTAATATTAATATTAAATAAATTCTCATGTTGTCACAAACGTTATTACATGTGTTATTGGAATATATGATAAAGATAAGAAAATTTTTTGATAAAATATGAATTATAAAATAAGAAATTTACATTAACTTATCAGTTACTTCTATTTATTTATCAGTTACTTCTATTTTTTGGTATTAAGAACTCTTTTGCCAATCTTATTGCTTCTTCTTCACCAATGACTGGATCTACAGACAAAGAAGCTTCCTCTCTTCTTTTCACTTGTACTAATGCCAATTTTTCTGCTGTAATTACACTATTAAATGAGGTGGGGCCTGAAAGTCGAAGTCTTGCTTCTTGTAGAGAATCACACATGTTTGGATGAGTTCTAATATCAAACCTATTAAACATTCCCTCAAGATGCTGTTGATGAACTATTATTGACCAGATACGATGCCTAACGAAATCATATATCAATGGAAATTCTTTTAACTGAATGTAATTAGCTTTTGAAAATGCAACAAACTGCTCTCTAAAGTTATTTTTTTCCAATGCTTCAAATAACCCTAATGAATTACTCTGATCTTCTAAATTCTTATTTAATCTTCCTATATATTTTTTTACTATTACTGTAGGTTGATCATCAGGAAAAGGATGAGAAAAAATTACATGGAGAATGGCTTGTGCAAATTCGGGACCATGCTCTCCTCCAAGACTGCATATGCAAAGCAGAAATTTAATCCAGGTAATCAACCATTTTTTGAAAGCATTTGAAGTTTTTTCAATCCCAATTTGCATTCTTTGAGCTAAATTCAAGAATTCCTGTTCATTTAAATGATCAGAAGCTGCCAATAATTCATCCATGAAGATTTTTTCAGGTTCATGCACAATATTCTCTAATTCACTAATCCAGGTTTGTACCATGTCAGGCATTTGATGAGCACGATATCCATTTGGTAGAGGGTGACTTGAGTTAGTATCAGAACTGATTAAAAAATACATTAGTTTTTCATAGAACCACTTCCCAAATTTTACCATTATTAAAATTTCTATATTTAATTTTTCATTTTCTAGGAATCCTAAAAACGTTTTCCATTTATGCAAATATCCCTCAGGTACATTCCTTGAACCTTCTAATTTTTCAACAAACCAATTAGTAAATGTAAGATGAAGCTCACGACGTTCCAAGTATTGTTTTGCTGTAGTTAACTGGTATAACCAACAGCTTGTAATTGGCTTCTGATATTTTTTGAGGTCTACATTCAGTAATGCTTTATACATTTTACTAATAGTTTCATTTTTCATATTTAATAGGTTATCTTTATTAGATTCATTGTGACCACTATGAAGATGATATGCAAGGTTTATAACATTGAATGGATGTGGATTCAAGGAAAGACCTGAAGGGGAACTGATCTTTCCAAAAACAGAATTGTCAAATGTTGTTGCTGCAATATGAACAGCATGTAAGCTACATGGAATTCTAATCGCATTTGTTCCACACCTTTGATTGAAATTTACAACAGCACCACCCTTAGATCCTGACATATAATTAGTATTGTCAGTAAGCCAATATAGACAATGATTTGGATCCAAGTTAAATGAACTGATTGCCTCAAGTACATATGTAGATACAGTATCTGAATTGCACCGATCCAGATCCTTCATGTTCAGGATTGTAAGTATAGGTTTCTCTTCTACTACATTCCAATGTGAGACACATACTAAAAATATTTTTTTATCACCTCTTGTACTTTCATCTGCCACGATCCCATATGATGAGAATTGAGAAGTGGTCCCTGGAAGATTTTCTGAAACTGTTATTCTTGCTACATCTTGATTCCATTTAGATAAAGTACTTGTTGAGATCCAAGTATCAGGGGAATCACCAACCAGGAAAGTAAAGAATTCCCTTGTGCATTGTACCGTTGATGACAATGATGATTGACCTATATTGCTCATTTGGGTCACTAGAGCAATGAACTCAGGTGTATAGGTATGTTTATTCTCTTTGACCATCTTTTTAATGCCTTTTTGGATTTCTTTTTTAGATATGTATTTTTTTTTTTGAGATCATTGATCTTATTCGTGAGATATAATGATCTTTATTTTTTTTTATTTTAATTGCTAAAGATTTATGTTTGGAGGCAATAGATTCATTTTTCTTTGTCAATATTTTATTTTCTTTCTCTATGGATTTTATTTTATTTTCAATCTCTTGGGCACTAGATTCCAGCTTTCCAATAGTTGGCAGAAGTAAATCCATTGCTTTTTTTTTGTAGATATGGTGAAATAATTTCACCCTTATGATTTCCATCTGGATAAACCATTATTTCAAGCAATTTGGAACATGAAAAAATTTGCTTCTCAGGTAAAATATTGATTTTATTCATTAATTCCTTTTTAGCTTTTACAGCTTTATTACTGAATGTTGAGGAAATATTAAGGTCAATTGGTGGTTCTATGAGTGTTTGATTTTGTATTACTGGGGGAGCTTTTAGAAGTTGTTTACTTCTTTTGGTTAATGGTGCCATTTTATTAGATCAAATTTTTTACTAACATAAACAATTCCTAAAATGAGATTTTCAAAAGCTAATGTAATGCGGTATAATAATAAGATAACAAAATAATAAATTGAAAGCTTTTTGACAACGTTATGAACGTTTTTGAATTTACGTTTTGGTCTGATTTATCCTTAAAAGGAAAAGATTTACAAAAACTGTAGCGGAAATTTTACGGTAATATATCCGAACAACTTTAAACCATGATAACTTTTTTTTTTCATAATGAAATTAAAAAAATTTTTTTATAGTTTTATTGTTTAAGTCTTTTATAATAAAGTTACAGAAAGCTTTTTTCTCTAACCCATTTGGTTACAAATTTTATCTATTAGCGAACTTTTTTCAATGTCTTTACTATATATAAAAAATTTTTTTTTTATTTGGCAAGAAAAAAAACTCTCTGTAACTTTAAAGCTTGATCTATTTATTATAACTTCGCTTAATTTCATGTCTGTATCTCTTTATTTGAAGGCCTTGATACAATTTTTATTTTATATAGTTTTTATATATACTCGTATTTTTTTAAAAAAAAGTTTGTTATTGATCGGCATTATGTTACATCACCTAATTTTGATTTAATTAGGGCATCTCACACCCCAATGCCAGACCCTTTGCCTACCATCATTTGATGCAAATTATATCTTGATTCATCACTATACATGGGATGGTAATTATTTTGTCAAAAACGTAATACGTAATTACGAAATTAATTACGGGTGACGAAATTAATTACGGGTGACGAAATCAATTACGAATGACGAAATTAAATGACACCTATTATTTATCTCGTTATACTAGTATAATGACATAATTTGTCAACTTTTTTTAGAATTATAGAATTTATTATGTTATAACGACATGTCAGTATAATGGGAGAACCAATCAAAATAATTCTCATTTCTGAAAAAACATAATAATAAGGAAATAAAACTTACACCGTGATCAAGATTGACTGGCACCATGGAAAATTCTGATAACACTTCTGTATAATACTGGTCAATTTTGACCCGGCGTAAGCTTTAAATTTCCTGATAAAACATGAATGAAATAAAAATAAAATATATAATAAAATAAAATTACAAAATCATGTGATAATGATTCTCATATTAATATGACTTCTATATGAACTCCCATTATAATGACATTCTTGTCATACTGACATTTTTTGTTTGTATGAAGAGAGTGTTGTTATAACAGGAGTGACTTGTATTATGATATTTCCAATAATTAATTCATTGTTATTCATAATTAATTTCGTCACCTGTAATTGATTTTGTCACCCATAATTGATTTTGTCACCCAAAATTGATTTTGTCATCCGTAATTAATTTCGTCACCCATAATTGATTTTGTCACCCATAATTGATTTTGTCATCTGTAATTAATTTCGTCACCCGTAATTAATTATGTAATTACGAATTACGTATTTACGGTAATTAGCTAATTACCATATCATGTATAGTAATGATAGTGGGGTGCATACTACTACTTTATGCAAAACTAATGTCATATTCTTTTCTATTAAGTGCTTGTTGCCAAAGGACTTTTGTTAGTAGAATACTGACATTTAATTTGAATATTGTAATAATAAAATTCAAAATCCACCTCATTTCTGCTAGTTTCTATTTGTAAATTTGTAATACAGATTCTTATTCAAATTATTCATAATGCACACAACTCAATCTTAATTCAAATTATTTGTTTTATTCAAATAGAAACCCTAGTTCTGGTCAAGTGCAAGGTTTTCTTTACAGCTGCACTTGTACTATTATTGCAGGTGAATTCTGGTCAAATGTCTCAGTTTTATGTCCAGCTTCATATATTCTAAAAAAAAAAAAATAGAAATATACTACTTGAGGCATTACTATGTAAATTAAAGGGGTTCCTAACTAATAGTTAAAGGTTGGCTAAACCATTAATTATCAGAAAGGATTATGAATCAACCCCACCAGCTTTATTAATTAATCAAATGTATATTATTAAAAAATGAAGGAAATTTTTAAGTGTTTATACTTCTTGAAGCATTACAAACAATATGACTTTTTACATGATTTTGTCCAATAAAATATAATAAATAGAATAATTAAATGAATGACTAATATTAATTACTAATGTTAATTACTAATGTTAAATGCCAAAATGCATCATTGATGTTATCATGATATAAAATGAAGCAATTGGGATCCAAGCTGGACCTCAATTTACTATTAATATCTTGTATGGCATTTATTTGGGTCATGTATATTATCATTTTGCATATTCTCTCAAGCAAGCTGTGTTAAAGTCAATTCTCTTTCAAATTCTCTCCAACATTAGGAGGTTCCTACATGGAATTTACAGTCAAATCTTGTCACAACAGGCCTCACCACAGCAGATTTCTTGTTATTATTAATAATATTAATTATAATTTAGATTTGGAGAGATCTGCATTTTATTTCAGGTCACGTGAATCAGTTATAGGAAGTGTTAATTTATATGAGCATAACGGAATTTCTTTGTGATTGGTCAATAATGATCAACAAATTTAATTGAGTTTGTTGACCAAAATAAAATTTGATTTTATCAATCAGAGGCAATTAAATATTAGCAATGTGTACATCTACATATTATGTTAATATACATATAAATAAACAATACATGGTTTCCAAATAATTAAATCAATTGCATATCTAATAAAAAAACAAGTATTATTAATAAATAAATATTTAAAATGATAAAAATGACATGTTTGCATCTACCTCTAAATGGTTTCATATTATATAACTT